AAGGACTGTAACAATGTATTACATGCTTGCGGTACACCACATAGAATGGTCTCAAAGTTTCAACCGAGTTGCTTCGATCGTCTTTAGGAGATCGGCAGGGTCCAAAACAGGGAAATACTTATATGGTTGGAAAGTGAAGGTTGTTGTTGAATGGTGGACCAGGTTTTGACAGTCTGTGTGAGTGTGAGGTGTTGCTAGAAAAGCTAAAACAACAGCATTGCCTCCAGCTTAGATGAAGGATAGCCAAAACAATGGCATTGTCTCCAGTGTGGTAAATGATGTACTGCTTTTCCTTAGGTCAACAAAAACAAGTTCTTTCAGAACTATCATTGTAGTGTACTGCAAGCATTTAACACATTATTTATAAAGTTAAATAAGTTTCATCATTAAAAATCATAAGGTCTTATTGTTTTCCATGTCATAGCTTATTATTATACGTTGTCCACAATTATCATAATTACATTATGTTCATTCCTTCTTTGGTGGAGTTGTTTCACTGCCACTGTGATCTGGAGATCCACTTGATTCTTTTCGACGTGGTGACCATTCTCGTTTACCCTCTGTTTCTCTTCGGCGTGCTAGTAATGTTTTGGTCAAATTGCCGATATTCATTCTCTGTGATGGTACCTTATCCTTTGGCGCAAGTTCAGCTAGTTGTGCCTCGGCATCCAGCATACACCAGTCGGGAACACGACCCGTCTCACGGTAATGCTCTTTACTAAGAGATCTGTAACTCAGGACTTCAAGACTCCCTAAAATTGCACCTATTTAAAATGAAAAAATAAAATAAGTTTTTTTCAATACATTTACATTTAGCTAATATTGTACTTTACATTCAAGTGGAAAAAAAATAATTGAAAACACCATAATGTTCATCATTTACCAATATCATAGTTAATAAGTTGTGTCTTCAACTTTTTTGATAATTTGTTTTGATTTTTCCGAAATGTTTATTGTAGATTATTTAACAAATACAAACAACTTATTATGTCAACCAACAAGTCAAAATACTTTTATGATTTTTTTTGTCTATGACAAGACCTTAGCAAAACTTACCGCCAAGCCATGACATGTAGTTTGGCTGCGACGGAGGATTATGCATCTTGAAACTGGCAACTGATAGTTTGTTTTTGTACTTGGGTCTATCAAGCAGGCTCTTAAGCTCTGACATGAGGCGGTGTTTAAAGCCTGGTAGCATTGCTGTACCACCGACACAGACAATGTTATGTGCCAACTCCTTACGGACATCTATGGGACACTAAAATAAATATGAAATATAAATATAAAATATGAAATAAATATAGTAAATTGATGAATATTCAAAGGATATCATATTCATTTTCTGTAATTTGCCCATATTTGGGTATGAGATGTCCACCACCAGAGTCATAGGCAAGCGTGCCACTCGAATTAGCACTTTTATTATGGCTATAGGTGGCGGCACCCATCTTACCACAGCCATTTGACTTGCCTACATCCTCAGTGTGTATGCTAAACATTTGACTCCAATAATTAACACAGCCATTTGACTTGCCTACATCTTCAGTGTGTATGCTAAACATTTGACTCCACAGCCATTTGACTTGCCTACATCCTCAGTGTGTATGCTAAACATTTGACTCCACAGCCATTTGACTTGCCTACATCCTCAGTGTGTATGCTAAACATTTGACTCCAATAATTAACTCAGCCATTTGACTTGCCTACATCCTCAGTGTGTATGCTAAACATTTGACTCCAATAATTAACACAGCCATTTGACTTGCCTTCATCCTCAGTGTGTATGCTAAACATTTGACTCCAATAATTAACACATGATAAGTCTGAATTAAATTTATGATCATAAAGTAACTGAATAGGAAAAATGATAAATATTCCCAAGTATGGAATGTTCAATTTTACCAGAAGTATTGAGTCCAAAATTAATGTTGCTACAGATTTCTCCTCGTTGTCTTGCTCAAACAAAACTTCACAAACTGTTTCTCTGATTTCACCTTCTATGGCTAATATTCTGCCACCATCCAGTGGGTAGTCAACAGGAGGGGGTGGTGGTGGCCTCTGTTGAGTAAAACAATCACAATATCAATCACACCTCAAGTCAGAGAGGTTTGATGACATCACTACTTGTCATCACAACTTGTTTTTAACATTTAATGTCCAACACATTTCATCAGTCTTATTGATTGAAATGTCATGAGCACCCTGGCAAATTATACATCCACTATATTATCTATTATTATTAATATTCATACTAGTATTATTATAACTTCATGGTGCACATATCATTTTGTGAAAATTAAATAAATAGATGAATTTGCATCAGTCGAGAATGTTTGCATGGCAAAGGACTGTAACAATGTATTACATGCTTGCGGTACACCACATAGAATGGTCTCAAAGTTTCAACC